TTCTTACTAACCTTTATCAATGTGATTGGACTCACTCGGGTTGAGGGCGTCCGGATGATTCGGGTTGAGGGTTTAGGGTTTAGGGTTTAGGGTTTAGCGGCCCGTTGCTTGTGAGCTCTTTGCGGCTTCAGTGTCCGGGTCGCTTGGTGGTCTCCGGGTTTAGGGAACCTTTAGGGTTTAGGGTTTAGGGTTTAGGGTTTAGGGTTTAGGGTTTAGGGTTTAGGGTTTAGGGTTTAGGGTTTAGGGTTTAGGGTTTAGGGTTTAGGGTTTAGGGTTTGGGTTGGGGTGCCTATTTTTAAGGGAAATACTACTATTTGGGGTCCATTAAGGGGGCGTAAAACCCCTAAAATTAAAAAACAAATATATATATATATATATACATATGTATATACCTAAGTAGCAACAACGTACCCCCTTTAGATTTACAGCCCCTAAATCCTGAGCTGAAGCTCTTTACGGGTTACATGTTTCTGGGTATTTCCCAAGATTGGGTACCCTTAATGCCTTAATCCTTAAATCTGATAGGACCCCTCCCCCCCAAAAAAAAATAAAAATTATGCCGGCGTAGACCCCAAACAGTGAGGAGGGCCAGAAAAGGCCAAAGAAGGCCAGAAGGGCACCGACACTCCTGGGGACAAAAAATACAAAAGTTCATGGGGGGCCGAATTCCCTTGGGGCTCAAAAAGACGCCAACCACTCGGGGATTCGGCTTTGCACGCGTGTGGAACTTGGGGGCCAAAAGACCCAGCTGATGCTCATGATGCTCAACCCCAAAATCGGACGCTACCCCATAATACTAACCCCCGGCACCCAGCCGCAGGGTTGACCCTAAACCCTAAGCGCCCCCTAAACCCTGTGTTTTTATTGATCCTGCCCCAGGTGGTCTCATCGCGCGCACCTAAGTGGCCTGAAGAGGCCACGAGAGGCCGGAATTCGCGCGAAACCACAGCGGGAGCATCGAAATGCAATGGAATTCGCACGAAACCACAGCGGGAGCATCGAAACGCAACGGAACTCGTGCAGCGGGAGCGTCGAAACCAAGGACCCGTCCCACCGCGCGCGCCGTTGCGGTCGGCAACCTAAGTGGCCCCCCCGGAAGAGGCCTGAAGAGGCCACGAGAGGCCGGAATTCGCGCGAAGCCACAGCGGGCGCATCGAAATGCAACGGAATTCGCGCGAAACCACAGCGGGAGCATCGAAACGCAACGGAATTCGCGCGAAACCACAGCGGGAGCGTCGAAACCAAGGACGTTGCGGTCGGCAACCTAAGTGGCCCCCCCAAGAAGAGGCCTGAAGAGGCCACGAGAGACCGGAATTCGTGCGAAACCACACCAGGACCATCGAAATGCAACGGAATTCGCGCGAAACCACAGCGGCAGCATCGAAACGCAACGGAATTCGCGCGAAACCACAGCGGGAGCGTCGAAAGGCCCCGTCCCACCGCGCGCGCCATTGCGGTCGGCAACCTAAGTGGCCCCCCCAGAAGAGGCCTGAAGGCCACGAGAGGCCGGAATTCGCGCGAAAGCACAGGGGGAGCATCGAGACACAACGGAATTCGCGCGAAACCACAGCGGGAGCGTCGAAACCAAGGCCCCGTCCCACCGCCGCGCGCGCCGTTGCGGTCAGCCACCAATTCCTTTACTCTGAACGTAAGAACCCCATTGTGCAAGCACTGTTTGGGGAACAAAGAACAGTATATAAAACATAATGAAGCTTTAGGGATTATAGGGCCCTCTTCAACCCAATAAGATGAGATATCACAAGGGCCTACCTAGAACCCTGAACCCTAAACCCTAATTTTGCGAAACCCTAAAACCTAAACCCTAAACTCTAAACCTTTGACCCGGAACCCTAAACCCTACATCAACCGGGCCTAAGCCCTCTAGGGCGAGTTGCGCACGCAGTGCTTTAGAGCATGAAATGCCCGACGCGTTGTTGATGGCGACAGGTATCATCGACAGTGCGGCTTACCATTCAGGAGTGATGTGGCGCATGAGCTTTACAACCTTCTTACCCAAATCATAGTATATATATATATGAATGTACAAAAATATGTGTGTATATATACATATGTATATATACTGTATATGTGTGGGAGTAGTTCTCTATGGAGCCTTGAACTCCGGACTCACCTCACACCCCCAGGCCCCAAACCCAAGGAACTGTGATGAAGTCGACCGTCTGGGATGCTTGGGTGTCTGGCAGTGCCACTTGGTAGCCCAGTGGTGAGCTTTTGCCGTTCTGGGGTTGTAGGCCCCTTTGTAAAAATTAGCCCCCCCTCATAAAATAATAATAACAATAATAAATAAATAAAAGTACCCTTGTTAGAATATGGGTAGTTCCCAAAGTAGGGACCCCTTTTTCCCAAAACAGAATCCCCTGAAAGGGTACCCCCTGTCCCCCCGTTTTTTTCGGAAACCCCTTACGGATTCTCCCTCAAACCCTAAACCCTATAAACCCTAAACCCTAAACCCTGGGCAGCCAAGGCCAAGATCCTCTTTCACATCGCCTTAGCATTCTGGTACTGCCGGGTGCTGCATGCCGGGCTGACCTCTTTCCGATGGGAGTGCTTCTTCTACAAGTGCCCTCGGGGTTTAGGGTTTAGGGGTTAGGGTTTGGGGTTTAGGGTTTACGGTTTAGGGTTGAGGCCCGAAACCCGAAAACCCTGAAGCCCCAAAACCCTAGAACCCTCTATATTGCCTATCTTACTACACCCTCCTCCTTTCGGAGCTCAATTTTTATTGAGGTGAGTTTAGGCTTTCGGTTCCTGAACTAGAAGGCCAAGCCCCTTAACTCCTTGAAACCCTGAACCTTAAACCCCTTAAACCCCTCAAACCCCTTAAACCCCTGGCCCCCCAAGCCCTAAACCCTTAACCCCCTTAACCCCTCACAACAATGAACCCTTAAACTGCAGATCATTGTAGCCCAAGCTATGTAGCCTACCCCCGTTCCTTTCGACACTCCTCCGCTGCGCATGCGCCAATCATTTGGGTTTCGGGTCTAGGGTTTAGGGTTCAGGGTTTAGGGTTTAGGGTTCGGGGCTTAGGGGTCCTCATTGTGGTCGCTGTTTAGGGAGTAGGGGAGCGGGGGAGGGGGTCGCTGAGATCTCGACATGCAACCCTGAAGGCAAGGACTACAGTTTCAACAGCAGCAGTTTGGCTTCTAAAGTCCACGGTTTCGTTTGTTTTCTTGGGAAGGAATTGGACCCGAGTTCCTAAACCTGCCCTGGTCCTGTCTGAACCCTAAACCCGAAACCCGTAACCCGACACCCGAAACCCGAAACCCGAATCCCGAAACCCTAAACCATAAACCCTAAACCCCCCGGCCCTGGTCCTTGCTGAACCCCCACCCTGACCCCTGCAGAGGTACCAATTCGTGTTTCCCTATTGCCACTGTGGTGCCGAACTTTTTGGCATTCACATCGCCAACTAGCTCACTCCGCGATCTGATGGTCAGTTCGTCCGTCGTTCATGCCTTTTTCCGATTCAGGGTTCAGGGTTTAGGGTTCAGGGTTCAGGGTTTAGGGTTTAGGGTTCAGGGTTTAGGGTTTGGGGTTGGGGTTTGGGGGTTAGGGTTTAGGGTCTAGAACTTAGTGGGTTGTCCCTAAACTCTACACCCCTAAACCATTTATGGATAGGATATCAATACTGGAGAACTGGCCTGATGCCAATGTCCAACAATTCATTCTCGCTCGGTGAAAACAGGAACGGGCTGCGGGCTTTGGCCTTTCTTGGTAGGATATTTACGTAGGGGTTTGACTTTATCGGCTTTTGGGTGTAGGGCTGTTTGGCACGTGCTGTGTAGATCCAAACTGGCATGAACAGGTTGAAAAGGCACAAGGATTCTGGTCGTCCCCCACGTAGGCTTTACTGAAACACGTTATCTTTCATAGGCGACCACGTCGAGCGCAAATAATTCCCTGCGAAGATACCCATGGTTCACTTTCGTATGTCGCTGTCACTTTTGGACGTCTATGTTCGCCAAATGCGAAGCTATCATCGCTTTTGGACAATTCGGCGTTTCCGAAATCAGGGGGTAGCTCCTTGGCGTCCGTAATTTCAGGGGATCCTACTATAGGGGGTCTGCTTTAGGGTCCCCCCTAAACCCTAAACCCTAAACCCTAAACCCTAAACCCTAAACCTGTATTTTCGTAAACCCCCAATTGTATTCGCCAAATGAAACAATGACGTAGCTTTTGGACGCGCGTTCTTGGACATAAACCCTAAACCCTAAACCTAAACCCTATACCCTAAACCCTAAACCCTAAACCCCAAACCTTATAAACCCTAAACCCTAAACCCTAAACCCTAAACCCTAAACCTCTTGATCCATTGCAGTTGGGATGCTTTTGCGTGCCCATTGGTCCGGCACTGTTTGGGGCCTACGTTGGCAGAATGCGTAAATCAGCTATTGAGCCCGACACGCGCTTGTGACAAGTCAAGGCGGCTGCGCCCAGCAGCCCTACACCCTGGCGCAAGGTCATTGCAGCAAAGTGTTTAGGGTTTAGGGTTGAGGAGTATTGTAGGAAGTATTTTAGGCTTATTGTAGTTGAAGGTTGTTTGACGATCTAGTCTATGGGTTAGTGGTTATGCACAGCATCCTTTTGCAATGCTATGACGCAGGACGATAGGCGATTTCGAGATATCGCCGTTCAACACGACACCTACCATAACGTGCATCAATTCTCATACAGCTCTCGGTGCCAGGCGTAGAAATATGCTTCAGTAGATCCCGTACCCCATACTGTAGTTGCACAATGCATTCCTTGCATGGACATGCCCAGTCCATCAGTTGCTCAGATTGGTACCACGCTGCTTGGCTCAGGCCATGTTTTGAAGATAGCCAAGCCAATGGCCCTTAATTGTCTTTGTGGAAGGGCACGTCTAGCCAACATAGACCACATGCCAACAGCATCTGCCAGTTCAGTTTTATTCACGATTGCCCAGCTTATCTATTTTCGCACTTCAGTTTAGCGGCGAAGTCAGGCAACATTGTTGAATCATGTCCCAGCGTCTGCGGCGTGTTGATTCATTCGACGACATCAAGAGAGCTGGCTTGTTCCGTGGAGTTTCCATTCTGAACGTGCTCTACTCACAGGCAGATGTTGGGGAAAGATGGTTCCAGCGGCATGTCACCTGTATCCATACACGCACATACATGCATGATATGGTTTGAACATGTGTCAGCCTTTGTTTGGACGATCAGATGCATGAAGCCATGTTGAACCCACCCTGTGCACGAGATACCACCTTGTGCATTTGCCCGAAAGTAGGTTTAGGGTTTAGGGTTTACGGTTTACGGTTTACGGTTTAGGCTTGGGGATCACTCGGTAGGCCCTTGGGACATTTTTCATTTTTTCCCTTATTGGGTGTAAGAGGGTCATATTCAGGAATATGTTTCACAGGATTTTGGGGCCATCCTAGCTCATGTGGGCCCTAGACCCTAAACCCTAAACCCTAAACCCTAAACCCTAAACCCTAAACCCTAAACCCTAAACCCTAAACCCTCCGGTAGGAGCCTTTTTCATGGTCCTCATGAAGTTTAAGAGGGTTTTTATGGGGCAGCCTGGGAAGCGAACACTGGTATTAGCTTCTCGGTTCCTACTGCTACCGTAAGAAACCCTCAAAAGTCGGTGAGTGTTTCTAGCATTTTTCACTTTGCATCGGGTTTCGGGTTTAGGGTTTAGGGTTTAGGGTTTAGGGTTTGGGGTTTGGGGTTGGGGCTTAAGGCTTCGGAGGGTTACTTTGAAAGCCTCGGCCGATACCCTGAACCCTAACCTGGAGGCTGTCATCTTTGCCAGCGGCCTCGCCGGCGTGATTGGTGCTGCCGCCGAAGGAAGATCGAGCACCTGGGCCATCATTTGAATACAGGTACATCGCTTTGGGTTTAGGGTTAGGGAACCCTATGTTGGAGGTATAAGGGCGTACTCCTGTTTTGGCAAGGACCCATTGGGCCCAGTTTGTGGTCTTGCGGTTTTCTGTATGCCTACGAAGCATGACAAAGCCAAACATAGTTAGGCTGTTAGACTGATGCATGCATAGGGGTAGTTCTCTAAATTAGGGTCCCTGTCTAAATAGGGCCCAAAGAATTGAGCCTAATATACAGAACAACCCGTAGAGATATGTGTGCAGCCAGCGGACAAAAGGCTCATGAATCAGCAGTCTACGTCAGGTCGGTCGTTATTCGGGCTTGCTCCATGGTTGTGGCTCTTGCATAGGCGAACCCCCTAAACCCTAAACCCTAAACCCTAAACCCTAAACCCTAAACCCTAAACCCTAAACCCTAAACCCTAAACCCTACTTAAACCCCAAACCTACTGAAAGCGCATCTGAATTCAGCCCAGGCTTGCGAAGCGCAGATGACTCAGACAGAGGCACATTGCTGTCTCGCCCAAGTCACATGTCAAAACCACCACTGACCTTCCATCTGATCTGCTTCAAGTGTTAGAACCCTAAACCCTAAACCCTAAACCCTTATCGCCATTGTGCTCCAGGTGCTATTGATGCAATGTTCGAATCAACCAGTCCAGCTGATAGAGTAGCAGCTCGGTTGCATGGCCAGCTGCAAACCTCCACATTTGTTTGGGGCTTAGGGGTGTTTAGGGTTTAGGGTTTGGGGTTTACGGTTTTGGGTTTTGGGTTTAGGGCTTAGGGTTTAGGGTTTAGGGTTGAGGGTTTGGGGTTTAGGGCGTGACAGCTGCAACTGGAAGCACCTTGCTTGTTTCGTGCGTGGTCATTTTCTGCTTCATGAGCATTCAAGTTGGCTTAAACCCTCAAACCCTAATTAAGCCCTAAACCCCAAACCCCGAACCCTTCTGTTGCTTGCATGACGAATTTCAGTCCATGCGACGCTGCCAGGCTATTAGCTGACAAGCGCCTGCTGTATCTTATTTGTGGTTTAGGGCTTAGGGTTTAGGGTTTTGAGCCAAACAGGTGAGTCAAGCAATCCTGCACACGCGCATCCCTAACATCTTGCACCCACACCCTTCTCCAAACCAAGATGCACAACAACAAAAGGCAGCCCCTTTTGTCCTATGCTATTGGGTAACCGGGTCATGGCGCTGCGTTCTAGGATGGACCCTTGTATCTCATAGTATATTGCAAGCATATGTTTAGTAGTACAGTAAGACTCAAAAATTGATTCATGGGGGTTGCATTAAGATTGTATGATCGCATAGTAGCACTGTGATCAGATTGCGCTACGGTGCTGCAATATCAGCGTACGCGTAAAGGATGTCTCAGGGACACGAGTGCTCCCTTCCAGGCTTTCTCCCTCAGAAACCCTATACTTTGTCATATTTGGGTAACATTTTACATGATTAATTGTACTTAAACCCAATAAGGAATGAACAAGTACAGTTTTACTACTATCCCAAGCATGAATCAGCAGAAACCCTAAACCCTACAAACCCTTGGACTTGCTGGACTGTGCGACGTGCTCATCATGAAGCATCCTCTTGGCCTGCCACATGATGATGCTTCTGGTGGGGGGGGGGGGAATTGGGTTTAGGGTTTAGGGTTTAGGGTTTAGGGTTTAGGGTTTAGGGTTTAGGGTGTAGGGTTTAGGGTTTAGGGTTTAGGGCCTGGTGGAATGGAAGCTCGCTCGTGGGGAAGTCCTCTGGCATGTACCATGGATGCGGTGGTTTGGGTGGTGCTGGCGTTGTGGCGGATGGTCCCGCCTTGGGCCATGATGGTGGGCCGTCTTCTACACCCTAAGCCTTAAACCCTAAACCCTAAACCCTAAAAGTGGACTTGGACATGGTGGAAGAGGTTTAGGGTTTAGGGTTTAGGGTTTAGGGTTTAGGGTTTAGGGTTTAGGGTTTAGGGTTTAGGGTTTAGGGTTTAGGGTTTAGGGTACATGACGGGAGTGCAGCAAGTGGTGGGGGGTATGGGACGAGGAGGAGATGTCAGCACGCTGGTTTCACCGTTTACAGGAGGACGGGCAACCGTCTCGCCTGCATGGAAAAGGGGAGAACACAGTTTTAACCCAAACTTAAGACCTTAAATCCTAAACCCTAAAACCCTCAGCCCTGAACACTCAACCCTAAATGAAACCCTGTAAACCCTAAACCTAAACAACCCGAGGATTACTTCATCAGCCACACCTGGAGTTCGGACCGGTGGACGAAGTATCTTGCTTTGTGTTTGCACCTGAGCTTTGGCAGAAGAGCTTGAGTTCTAAACCCGCAAGGGTTTAGGGTTTAGGTTGTAGGGTTTAGGGCGTAAGGCTTCGGGTTTAGGGTTTAGGGTTGTGTTTTGGGGTTAGGGCTTACGGTACTTGAGGGTTCATGGGCAGTCAGCAGTTGGATTGCCAAACTCTCAACTCATAACCCTCTAATAGGGCTTACGCTTCAGGAGCACAATGCAGGGCCCGACAGCAGGACCGCTCTGCACTTCACGAGCGTGAGCACACGTGTCTGAGGCGCGATGTTGAACCCGACATACAGGTAAAGCGCCAAGCGAAGCCAGGAAAGATCCCAAGATCCAGTGTTCTGCGACACGGACCGATTGAAACCTCAACAGTGCGCCCGGGACCGAGGCGGTAGCCATATCTCCACCGGATGGGACGTAGGCTGCGCGCACGTACCTCAACCTTATCATCCCTAGTCCTAAACCCTAAACCCTAAACACCAAAACCCTAAACTTATTGGTTGGAACCACATGGTGCTTTCCCTTTGTTTCTTGCAAGTTTCACGGACCTGTTTGCCAAGGAACCTGCGTCTAGCAGTCTTCTCTTCGATTCTGACCTGGATGCTTGGCTCGCCTCCAGATGTGTAGGGTTTAGGGTTTAGGGTTTAGGGTTTGGGGTTTAGGGTTTAGGGTTTAGGGTTTAGGGTTTAGGGTTTAGGGTTTAGGGTTCAGGGTTTAGGGTCTAGGGTCTAGGGTCTAGGGTTTAGGTTTAGGGAGATGGCTGAGATTCTGGGCTCGTGCGGTCCGATCTTGCAGCGTATGATTGTATAATTGAAGCTATCGTATACCGTCTGGTCGTATAGCAGTATCCTGCACCATGCTATGCACTGCACTTGTAGCATACCCAAACACGTGTCTCAAAGCGCTGCTTTGGGGCTCTCAGAAGCCCTCAGCCCAAACCCTAAACCCTAAACCGTAAACCCTAAACCCTAAACCCTAACTCCTAAGCCCTAAACCCTAAACCCATCGCCTTAGTGGGCAAGGACCTTGTGCCCACTGTGTCATACCAGCGTCTCTAGAAGATTTGGCGTCAGCAGCGTCTCTAGAAGATTTGGAAGGCCCTAAACCCTAAGCCCTAGCCGAAGCCCCAGACTAAACCCTAAACCCTAACCCTAAACCCTAAACCCTAAACCCGAAACCCGAAACCCTAAACCCTAAACCCTAAACCCTATAACCCTAAACCCTAAACCCTTAACCCAGACTCCAAGGATCCTGACTGCCACTGCTCTGGTGCTTTGGGCTGGCTCACTTGGTGCCTGGGGAGGCAGCAGGCAGCTCAAGCGCGACCCTAAGCATAGTAGCTGTTCTACACAACTCCCAATGCGTGCGCGTCTATATCATGCATGGTATTTATGTGTATGTGTCTAGATGTGTGCATATATTCGTTTAGACTTGTGCACGCATTCGCACATAGACACATAGAACGCATATGCACATAGACGTATTTACATACATGCATATTATATATACACACGCAGTATACATACATGTATGTTGATGTACGCTTATTTCATGTATTTACACAATAGATTTACATGTATATTTACATATAGACGTATATATATATATATATGTGTACACGTATGCATATGCATATGCATATGCATATACATATACATATACATATACATATACATATACATATGCACATGGACATATTTATGTATTTGCATATAACCTTTTTTGCAAAATATACATAATCTACACAGCTATGTGTAAACAGATATATACATAGAGTGAGATTTGTATATGCACATACACACACATACATACATATACATATATATATATATTCATATGCATATTTATATTTATATTCATATTTTTATTTATATTTATATTTGTATTCATGCACATGTGCGTGCGTATGTATGTACGCCTGATTGTTTGTATGTTTCTGTTTGTCTGTGAGCACGTGAGTGCGACTCTCTTTCCAGTGCTTCCCGTTGTGGGCGAGTGAACTGTGCCTTGTGGCAAACCCCTACACAGCAGGATCTGTTTTCATAGCGTTGCTTACGAGGTTTTAGGGTTTTTAGGGTTTAGGGTTGTTCTTGGGGTTCCTATTATGGCTTTCACCTTTTGCGCACAGCCTTCTTCAGGAGATCCCTGTGAGGGGCCATGAGTATGAGAAAGGGCCCTTTGACTCTTAAAGTTGTGGCCAGTGTGTGTCAGGCTGCTTTTGCCATCTCTGGTCTATTGGCCGATGGCTATCTTCTACCTCGTCTTCTTTTATGGCCATTTGCTGAGCAGCCGCTTGGACGTCGCACAAGTGAGATTCTCAAAAAATGAAGCGTCAGCACAAGAAAGCTCGCACATTCCTTGAATAATCCGACCGAAGCCCAAGTAGGGCAAGAGTGGTCAAAGGGCAGTTAAGGACATTGGCAGAAGTTGCCGACTGTTTGGCTGGACAAGATGTGCATTCATCAGGGGGACGAGGCCAGGGCGTACTGCTCTGGTCGATGTGGGGTTCCCGAAAACAGCTACCAATTACTTAAGAACCCCCCCCCAAAAAAAAAAAACATATTCTTCGTTACAAGGGTAATATAGGGATTGTTATTTTCCATTTTTTGGGGGTTCTTGAGCAAATAGGGGTATCCTTTTTGGGGGCCCCTTTATCAGGGGATTCTATTCTGTTTGGGGTATGAAAGGGGTACCCCTTCTATGGGAAAGAACCATGTCACCTACTCGACAAGACAAACCAACACGAGAACATCTCAAGGGAGGTATTGAAAACACAGGAGGGAGTCTCTTTCCAAGCAAAATCCCCCATACAAATGATCTGTTGGGGGCCCTAAACCCTAAACCCTAAACCCTAAACCCTAAACCCTAAACCCTAAACCCCAAACTGGCATCCTTAGCCTGCTTTAAGCATTACGTGCGAAGGTTGGCCTCCCTAAACATGGGTAGAACGACGCTACCCAGAGCTTCCACGCCGCTTCGTTGAGGGAACCAACTCAGATGATATTTCAAGAGCTCTGCTAATCATGATTTGGGGATTATTTCTCAATTTGGGGGGGATCAAGTTCAAGAACCCTACTAATCATGATATGGGGAGTATTTCTCAATTTGTTTTTTTTTTTTTTGGGGGGGGGGGGGGCCTAAAACCCTGGGAAAACCCTAAAGCTTGCGGTTTCGCCAGGCCATGAAGGCGCAGCAGGTTACTGCGTTGCCCGTGTTCGTGGCATGCTCCTCGCGAATTTTGGTCTTATGGGATGACACCTGCTGCTTGGCTAAATGTAAGGTTTTGGTTTTAATTACCCTAAACCCTAAACCCTATACCTCAGGACTTTTGTGGACCGGGGTTGAGGAGCTGGGGTCGGGGACTTTAGCGCTCAGCCTGTAATTATAGGGGTTCCCCTATCAAGTGAAGCTGCAGGCGGCTTTTCGCATTTCAGGGTCCCTAAGCCCTACAGTAAACTTAGCCTTGAACCCTAAACTACGCCGGATGAGCCCCTTATTCCGTATTGCGGCATTTAAGTTCCCTTTATAAGCCCCTCTCAGCCAGAAAGGTTTTTAAGACCTAGGTTACTTTTTGGGTCGAGCAAACCCTAAGCCTGAGATTCAGGCAGGGTTTAGGGCTATTTTGGGGTCAACCGTGAATCCACCAGTTCAGGCAACAACTCTCATAGACGGTGGTAGGTTTCAGGGCCGGTTTAGGGTTTAGGGTTTAGGATTTAGGGGGTTTAGGGGGTTTAGGGTTTTTAGGGTTTTTAGGGTTTTTAGGGTTTTTAGGGTTTTTAGGGTTTTTAGGGTTTTTAGGGTTTTTAGGGTTTTTAGGGTTTTTAGGGTTTTTAGGGTTTTTAGGGTTTAGGCTTTAGGGCTTCAGACGCTTGACCGCGGCATCTCCTGGCCCCTCTGCTCTATACTCTGCGCCACCCCAGCCGATGTATCTTCCTCCTCCGCCTTTAGGGTTTAGGGTTTAGGGTTTAGGGTTTTGGGTTTAGGGTTTAGGGTTTGGGGTTTGGGGTTTAGGGTTTAGGGTTTAGGGTTGAGGGTTGAGGGTGTAGGGTTTAGGGTACTATTTGCTTAAGAACCCCGCCAAAAATGCAAGATAACAATCCCTCTATTACCCTTATATGGAAGAGCATTTGTGTTTTTTGAGGGGGTGCTTAAGCGAATAGTCAAAAACGGTGTGTACATGGAGTGCGCAAATCTCATCATCTGCCGTCTGACACTACCCGATTCGTGCAGGAGAAGCACGCTCAGAAATTCAATGCTAGCGTGCCAGTGCTCTGGAGCATACATTGCCTCACGGTAAATGCCAAAGACGCGTGGAATCATCTGAACCTGAGATCTCAACGACGAATGCCTAGAAAAAAAACCACCGCAGTCAGCTGAGATTGTGAACCCAGGCCCTGCTAAGCAGTCCCGTAGCATTCCTCCGAGGTAGGATAAGGGGGGGCCCCTAAAAGGGAACCCCTATTCAGCCTCTTCTGCCTCTCTTAAGTAGGGACCTTATTCAGAGGATCAAGATCCCCAAGGGTATTCCTAATCCTATCCCCTAATGCTGTAGCAAGCAAACCGTTTTGCTTGCCTACTGCTCCGCAGCAGCAGCAGTAGCAGTTGCCTCGAAAGCGGCCCGAACTCTGCAGCAAGCCGCCCTTAGGGTCAAGGCTACTGCAGACCAAGCATACACACACACACACACACACACACAGAGAGCCGAGATTTTGAGCGTCTATGGTGCAATTTGGAGCTTGCCACCTTCGCCAAGTACGGCAGTGCAGAGAGAGTTGAAATACGGCGGCTCGGTTGCATCTCAGAGCACCTGTTGAACCCCCTTCAAGCCCTTGAGGCTCGGACAGCCGGTAATTAAAGCAAACCTAAACTCTAAACCCTCAACCCTAAACCATAAACCCTAAAGCCATAAACGGTATGCATGCTGCAGCTTACGACTCCCTCGACCGTGGTGATTTAGGTTTTAGAGTTCAGGGGTTCGGACCAGGATGTTAAATAGTTTGTTTGGGTTCAGGGTAAACACTTAGTTCTCTGTCAGTGGGATGTTGATGTAGCAGGAGGAACACTAAATAAACGCCACCAAGAAGCTTGTGTTTGCCATTTACTAACAGAGCAGACATGATCCACAAGCACTGTATGCCTTGAGCCACATCCCTGGCGTGATAAGTCTCCCGAGCAGGAGGGCGAATTTCTTTGGTCTTGGGGTGGGATCAGCCATATTGAAGCCGCGACCCGTCTTTCGATAGCACGCAATCTCTCGGAAGGATGAACGAAAGCCCTAAACCCTAATCCCTAAACCCGAAAACCCCCTAAACCCTAAACCCTAATCCCTAAACCCTATACGTGGGGAATGCAAAGGGGGAAAGGAAACCAAGAAATCAACCCCAATGACCACCCTGAATATATCCCTGGACCAACCAACAAAAACCACAGAACCCCAAAGGGCCCAACACCTTTTACTCTCACAGCAGATCAAGCTGTTCATCTTGAGCCAAATATTTTTGCGGGACATTGCCCTTTTCCACCGATTCACTTCAACCTCCGCACCCTAAACCCTAAACCCTAAACACTAAAACCCTAAACCCTATCCCTTAAACCCTAAACCCTAAACCCTCAACCCCCCAAAAAGGCCGCTGTGGTTGGCTCCATGGCTCCTCTGGTCCATGCTCCTCGATCTCGCCAGCGCTTCGTTCTTCGAGGTCTGTGAGGTCGCCTTCCCGATTCCTGGCTGTCGTGAAGTCGTGAACTTACCCTAAACCCTAAACCTGAAACCCTAAACCCTAACCCCTAAACCGCTAACCTCCTAAACCCCTAAACCGTCCCCTAAACCCCTAAACCCCTAAACCAACCCTGAACCCCTGAACCCCTGAACCCCTGAACCCTGAACCCTGAACCCTGAACCCTGAAACCTAAACCCTTAGCCCTTAGCCCTGAACTTGAACCCGGAGTAGGCCCTGTTTCTTTATTTAGGGTAGGAGGTTCCAATATATTCCCCTTAAAACCAAAAAAGGACACCCTTTTTATTCCTAGGTTACTCCTGGGTCTAGTAAACCCTACAGTACGGCACCCTTGCAATAAGGAGCCTCCCCAAACGGGACCCCGGCGCAGAGAACTACCTAGGTGTTGCCCATGCTGTATCCGCTTTTGGGTGTTCGGTGCTGGTCGCAGGTTTTGTGGGTGATTGTGGTTGGGGCCTTCCATGAAGATTGAAGTGTGAATCCGAAGTGCTATCTGGATGGTTCTCTAAATCAGGGTCCCTTTTTGGCTAAACCCTAAACCCTAAACCCTAAACTCTTTTAGGGTTCATTTCGTCCCCAAGGTAGAGGCATGACACAGCTTCAAAGTGGATCAGGCTTTGTGGTTTCGGGTTTAGGGTTCAGGGTTTAAGGGATTAAGGGCTTAAGGGTTAAGGGTTGAGGGTTGAGGGTTGAGGGTTGAGGGTTGAGGGTTGAGGGTTGATTGGGCTTGATTGGGCTTGATTGGGCTTGATTGGGCTTGGGGCTTGGGGCTTGGGGCTTGGGGCTTGGGGCTTGGGGCTTGGGGCTTGGGGCTTGGGGCTTGGGGCTTGGGGCTTGGGGCTTGGGGTTTGGGGCTTGGGGTTTGGGGTTTGGGCGAGCGTGGGTTATACCCCTCGACGCTCAACCCTAAAACCTTTGGTAGCAACGACCTGGTGGGTTTAAAGCCAGTTCAGCCTGCGAACGCGCCTCAGGAATTGGTCCATGGATTTGGTGAAGGATCTAGTTGACTTTTTCGAGAACACGTTTCAACTCGGAGAGGCTCCGCACATCTTAGGGATCTTAGGTTGAAGGGTGGGGTGTGTAGAGGGTTTGTAGAGGGTTTGTAGGGTTTCGGGCTTTGGGATTTAGGGTTTAATTCGGGTTTGGGGGTTTTAGGAGCTTAGGGGCTTTCGTGTTTGGGTTTAAGCGTTTCGGGCTCTGGGCTTATTTAACGGACAAGCTTAATGTTGGACTCGCTTTAGTGCGTAGGGGCCCCCCCCCCCCAAACAATTTTTGGGGTTTTCGGGGATCCTTAATAATCTGGGACGGGGCTGGGACGGGGGCTGGGGGTAGGGCGGCTAGGGGTCGAGGGTTGAGGGGAAGCCTTGAAGCTTGAGGGTCTAAGCTTTCCAGGCTTTGTAGCTCCACGGTCGCTGGGGCTCCGCATTAATGCGGACCACCGAAACAACTTGCTAAAGCGAATCAGGGCAGCTCGTGGGCTACTCCCTTGGAAAATTGTTTGGGGGCCTGTTTCGTAATGAAATTTTACAAGGAATTCAAATAAGGCTGGACACCAAAAAAAACCGGAGTTTCTTATTCAAAACTTTTTTTAGTTTTTGGCTTCCCGGCCCCCCGCCCTTCAACCCCAGCCGGGACAACATCGCATAATTGTGAACCCCCCTAAACAATGGGGGGTCCTGTATAGGCCGAGCGGAAAATCGCATAATAGTGGTCCCATAACATTAGTGCAGGTTGGGCTTTATGGTCTGAGGGTTTGGGGCTTAAGGGTTTAGGTTTAGAGTTTTTAGGGGTTTAGGGTGTTTAAAGGGCTTGGGGGTTTTAGGGTTTAAAATTGCCGCTTGGAAGATCATATGGGGGCCGTAATAATTAGAATAGGGCTTTTTTGGGGGGATTCTTTTTGTACAAGGCAAAAGGGACCATAAGGGAATACTATTAGCAATTCTTCCAAACCCTGTATGGAGGTTAGCGAAATAAGGGGGTATCACGCCGACAGTCCTTGAACCAGGGCCCGTCGCCGTAACCCTATCGCCTGTCGTCCTAAACCCTAAACCCTAAACCCTAAACCTAAAAGTTGTTTGTGAGGCATCACCGCAGGGTCTGGTGATTGCCTGCATGGCCATCTGGACCATGTCAGGCCAACTTGGGCTTCCAGCCCTAAACCCTAAACCCTGAACCCTGAACCCTAAACCCTAAACCCTAAAGGCTTAGGGATATCAGGGAGCTAGACGCTCGAAATAGAGCATCCTGTGCTAAGTTGTAACGTGAACTTGCGCCCAAAGCCCAAAAAAGTCGGGGTTGAGATTCTTTCCGGCCGTTCAGGGCTTTGCGGTCGTGCGGTCGGTGTTGCTGTAGGAAGCTGATGAGTTTGTAGGCATCGTCATTTGGCAAAAATGGTGTGGGTTTACGCTCTTGAGTTTTGTTCTTCTATGTTACTAAACCCTAAACTCTCAACCCTAAACCCTAAACCCTAAAAGGCGCTTTGTTCGGGAGCTCACTAATTTAAGTATGAAGATCTAGACATGGTGGTTAGGCGGGCCTTTGTCCGAAGACTAAGACCCTCTATGTCGATGGGCTTAGGGAGTGAAGCGTACTTCATCCAATCTTAGGGTTGAGGGTTGAGGGTTTATGGCATTTCTCAAAATTCGGGTGTCTTGTCTAAGAGGGCTGTTGCCCAGCGACTAATTCTGATTCCGAGACTTGTGCACAATCACCCCCCCCAGCCCTGTTGCAATGCCGTAGCGTTCTGGGGGAGCTTGGGTTGGAGTTTGGGAGGTTTGGGGGTCTTGGGGGTCTTTGGAGGTCTTTGAAAGTCTTTGAGCTTTCGCTTTCGCTTCGCTTTAAACCCTCATTATGGCCAAAAGGGACACACTTTATTTAAACCCTAACCCTAAACCCTAAACCCTAAACCCTGCACCCTAAACCCTAAACCCTAAACCCTAAACCCTAAACCTTTTTTGGGGGGCGGAACTTCTCTTGGCTGCAGAGCAGGTGCTTGTTATTTGCCGACTTCCGTCCCGGCCTTCTTGGCTTTCCGACAAAAGAACCTCGGAGCCCAACAGCAAGGGGTTGGGACTTAGGGTTTAGGGTTTAGGGCTTAGGGCTTCGGGTTTAGGGCTTAGGGAAGAACTTTGCTGCGGAGTCAGAAGCATCGAAATTGCCTCAACCCTAGTTTTCGAAGAGAGGGCTTACGTAATGCACTTCTGTTGAAGGTTTAGGGTTTCGGGCTTACGTAATGTTTTTGTTAGCTTCAAAGGCTTCCTGAGATGGTCAGAGCAGAGAGCTCCACCGATGCAAATGAGTAGCAAAGATACAAATTCCCGCGCGAAACGCATGCCATTAAGCACCATCTAAGTGAACTTCTCTTCGCACTGGGCTGGCACAAGAGGCATCTTACACGGGGAATGCAACAATCAAGAAAGTACAGCCAAGTGGCTGAAGCTAAGCGAGATGTTCACACATCTCACACGCGGGGCACGCGCCGCAGTCGCAAATGTCGCGTCAGCATTTCCAGCATGCTTTGGTGAGGAACCCTAAACCCTAAACCCTAAACCCTAACCCTAAACCCTAAACCCTAAACCCTAACCCCACACCTCTACCCTAAACCCTAAACCGGCGTGGCGGAATGGCATGCAGTCCCTCCGATGCGCCATATGCTTCCGTATTGCCGCGCCGCTCAAGCCCTCCGAGTAATAGCACACACTCCTCATGGCTTCATGGTATGGTGCATTAGAAATGGGTTTAGGGTTTAGGGTTTAGGGTCTAGGGTTTAGGGTTTAGGCTTTAGGCTTTAGGGTTTAGGGTTTGTGCTACTATTCACGGTGCGTGGGGTTCCTCCGCTAAGCTAGACGGTGCAGCTCTCCGCTAGTAGGCTGCGAAGTGCCAGGGCATATCCGTGGAATACTGGTACCCTTCACAGCAGTAGCGATAGTAGTGGCAGTAATAGTCATGTTTATCATGGTTGTGGGGTCGTAGCTCTGGTATTTCATCTGCTGTTTGAGATTTCCCCGGCGATGGTTAGGGGTCCGTGGTACGCTTAGAAAGGATCATTTGGGATTCTTCTTGGCTAGCCAATGAACCGAGTATCCTTTTCTCATGCATCTATGACCGAGAGGTAGAACAGCAGGGATGTTTTCCAGTACACGTATATGTGCTCTTTCAAACATGCCCTCAATGTCCATGCAGAATATCACTCTTCGTCCCGCCCATTGGCGGTAGAAAACTTGAATGATAAGCTTTCTTTTGCCAGCCAACCTATAATCTTCAACTACCGAACCGTGACAAGCACATCCACCGACGAACATAAAGCACACAACGCCAAGGGCGCAATGTTACCCTAAGGGTAGTAACCCTAAACCCTAAACCCTAAACCCTAAACCCTAAACCCGGGCCCTTAATATGGTCCCTTACCTCCCCCAGAGAGTTCTGAAGTTGGGGCCCTTGGGTTACATAGGGTATATAAGGGGTCCCCTTACTGGCCCATACGAAGGGACCATGTAACTACCCTTAGAGTTACAGCGTTGTCGGACATGCACTGGTGTCAGCACTGTTCAGAAGCACACTCCTGAGGATTGCCAATCACCACCTCATGTTGGAGCAGATGTCGCAGTTCGATTTACGAAGGGCAAAATGCACGATCGTAACTTGCCAGAAAAAACAAACGTGCAGACCCCTTGACCTAGCAGATGAAACAGGGCTTAAGGTATGGGGTTTAGGGTTTTGGGTTTTACTACAGGGTTTGGGGCGCAGGGTTTATAAGTTCTGTTTTGCTGTTATTGGTGAGTGTATCTAGTGTTCACTGACAGTATACATGGAGTGTCCTTTGGGATACCGGCAAGTAAACAACTCTACTTCATATGTTACCAGAGTAAAGTATGTTGTATTGCCCTAGAACATGTGCTACTGTAGTAGAATATGACTTAGGGATGCTCGGAAATAACTGTTAATTTTGAGTACTTTTATTCCGAAGAAACAGCTATAATTGTAATTTTTGCTAGGGTTCCAAGTTCAGTCGAATATGAGAGGATGAACTTACTGGTTCTTCGTAGCGAATGAGGGAGTTAGATAGCCCTATCTCATTCCTTGAACTGGATTCTAGGGGGAAGTAAGGTGCCTAGTTCCCTCATTCCGTTCCTAGTTCCCTCATTCACTACCAAGACCGCTCGGTGGACCCCCGTTCCTAGTTCCCTCATTCACTACCAAGACCGCTCGGTGGACCCCATTTGAAGCCTGCGCTCCACACATGCAGAGGTCGAGGCTACCGTTTTACTTCCACCTAGGGTTTTGGGTTCCTAAGCCATTGGACCACCTTACTTGAGAGTATCTTGAAGGACCAACACACCTGTAGGCTGGGTGTTAGGGTTCAGGATTCAACAGGGCCTAAGGGCATACGTAGCCCACCCTAAGCCCAAAGGATTTCTGGTGTAGGGTTTAGGGTTTAAGGTACCGAATTCCTCCCGGAACCCTAAACCCTATACCCTAAACCCTAAACCGTAAACCCCCCCCCCCCCCCCCCGAAACGCAGGGGCTTCTTGTTCGCAAGGAGGCTGATCGGAAGCTCGTCGAGAGCCAAGTGGAGGAACTCTTCTCTGAAAAAGGCCCCGTGTACTTGGAGATTCATGGTACTTATTAACCAATTATAACTGTACTTAATTATATAACCCTCTTATAAGCCCCTCAACTGCCCTAATATGGTTATAAGTACAGTTCCCAGTACAGTTATTACTGGTTACTAGGTACCATGACCCCCGATTAGTGGATTCAGTGGGATTCTCGAAGTTGTGTAGGGCTTAGCAGCTTGGGTCCCAAATAGAGTTGAAGGAAACGATCTGACCAAAAGCTCTGAGGTTCATTCGAATAGGCGGTCTCCCGGCCCCAAATGCCCAAACCCTAAACCCTAAAACCTGAACCCTAAACCCTGAACCTTAAACCCTTGTGTGATTCGAAACGTTGACCCCCAATGCCTGAGCCCCAAATCCTGAGTCCTTTGAACTGGAGACTCCAACAAGCCTGGAACTCTCAACACAAGCTTTGGCCCGCACCCTTCGAAGAAAAACTTATCTCAAAAAAGGCAGCTGTCGTCAGTATCAATGCAGATTGCGCGTTGTGGTGCAAGTACCACTCTAAACCCTAAACCCTAAACCCTAAACCCTAAACCCTAAACCCACGAACACCTTGTTGGGGTTTCGAGTTTAGGGGTTTGGGTTCTGGCTAGGAACCGATCGGCTGCCTGCTTGGGATGACTCTGACGAGTTGCTGCGAGAAGGCTGGGCCGCGTGGGAGATGGTTTAGGGTTTAGGGTTTAGGGTTTAGGGTTTAGGGTTTAGGGTTTAGGGTTTGGCATACCACATTGGTCTCGGTAAATCGACCAGGCAACGAAGCTACAATTGCTGTAAGCCTGTAAGTATGTTCGTTCGAAGTACTCTTTATGAACATGCTTGAAACGCACTTAACGTCTACTTCAGGTATGATGTAATACATCTACGATGACCATATTGCAAGTACACTTTAACAGCATTCCCTATACTGCAAGTGCGGCTTCAGGAATTGTGGGGCTTCGGCCTAGGAAACACGAGGATTCCGTGTCCATTGAGATGCGCCTTAATCACACTAGGGGAGGCGAAAAATCAATCGCCAAAAAACATTATCCCTTATACCCCCTATATCATTCCAATGCAAACTATCATCAGCAACTATCCAAAGTACCCATTTCCATTGAAGTAGGCCCCTACAACGGCCAGGCGACATGGTGGTGAAGGTACATTTGCACGACAGGGTGACATGGTCGGAACGGCAGCACTCGACCGAGCAAGCTCTGGACAAGTTCAATGCTTACGTGAGGGGACCTTTGCAAGATACCGTTCCTCGGATGCCCAAGCAGTACCCTTATTCCCTTTTTTTTGGGGGGGGGTTTAGGTTCCCCTATAAACCCCCTCTAAGCAAACAAAGGGGCACCCCTTTTGAAGCCCAGGCTACTGGGCAGCCTAGGTTCGGGACACCATTGGTGATGAGACCCATGTGCCATACTACCTGTGCATGGTTGCCTACCTGCCTATGGGGTTTTACTCGCTGGTCAACGTGCTCGGCTGCGATAACGGCCCGTGTGAGAAGTCATTTGTGGAGGGGGGATACTCGTCTTTCGCATCGTATATGTTGACGCAGGTGGTGGCATGGATTCTGTGCATGCTACTGAGCTTTCCGATCACGCACCCTGTCCTCCTTCGCCTGATGCATGTCACCATGTCCCGCACGAACGGCTGCCTCCAATTTCTTCTTGCCACACTCTGTTGCCCGCTAGCTTATGCGTACACGTACATGTGCCTGGGCCTGCAATGTCGGTGACGTTCTTGTTTCCTAAGTTTCATTACGAAGCCCCTAACCCCCTAAAGCCCTCAGCCCTCTCATTGATGGTCCCTATTGGGGTCTTCAGGGTACCCTCAAAAAAAAGGCCCAAGCTTTTAGAACCCATATCCCGTAGCTGATAAGCTGGCTCTAGTTCTAAGGGTAGTTTCATGGGCCCTGCTCCCTTACCCTCTTAAAGGGTTGTGAAGTATGGGCCCTTTGGTTGCACAGGGTATACCAGCGGTACAGCAGGGGTCCCCATTTAGGGGCCCAAATTAAGGGGCCATGGAACTACCCTGAACGCCTCAAACCATAAGCGCCACTAGACGGTCAAGCTTTCTCCCTGGGACCCTACTTGGAGGTTCACTCTTGAGCCTGCAGAGTAATGACTGATGACTGCACTTAGAAGCCCCGAAAAGGTCCCCTAGGTAGGTTATAAGTACAGTAATAGTTGGGGTTATAAGTACGCTTGAACCTCCAAGTGCAGGCTCATTGCACCCAGGTGTGGCGGCATGATATGGGGTCTCGCTATGGCTGTCGCACAGCAATGTTCGCCGGGAATGCTTGCGGTGACGGTCTCATGGCAGCCTTTGCAAGGCTTTGAAGTTCAGGGCTTCCGTCGGGTCACCCACAGGTCACTAAGAAGTACCCTCATCACTGGTGCATTTCCATGTCTTAAGGATGTTAGGTAGTGCTGGTTAAGTACTGATTGCAGAACTCCAAAACCATAAGCTCTATGTAAAACGAAACCCTAGAGATTCCAAAGAGGGCAAGCACTTGAGGTAACCTATCTGGCCCTGCTGGTGATGCAGGCAAGACTCAGCTTGCATATGGGGGAGGATGGGGAGGGGGGGGGGTTTAGGGAGGGAGGGGAGGGGAGGCGGGTGGAGGCGGGGGGGAGGGGTCTATATCATTGCATAGTCCTCTTAATTTAGCCCCCCCCCAAAAAAAGAGAGAACGCAAAAGTAAAATACAGCAACACCCCAAAATGATGAGTCGTTACTAGACTACAGGGCTGTCGCGGATCTGGCCAGGCCAGGTGGACTTGGACACCTGTCGGTATTTGATTGTGTCTGAGATTTAGGGGTTATATGTAAATTGTGATTATTTACTTGATTTGTTTTGTTAATATTTATTTATAATTATAGATATAGATAATTATGAAAGTCTATCAGCAAGCTTGAGCCATCCGCTGCATACGGTTAGCATGCTAAAGTCTACTTTCGCATATGTTATGTACAGGGTGCAAAAATGTAGCCTTCGGCAGCAAAGTAGAGCGCCCAAAAGTGAGCCAAGGGGCGTCAATATTCCAGGGCATAGCTACAGCAAATCATCCGGCTACCTAAACCATAAACCCTAGTGAGCCATTCCCTCACCCCCACAAGTTTCAAATTCGTTTCGGTAGTTTCAAATTAGTTTCAAAATCCAGTTGCAAAATCGCTGTTAAGGGGAAAACTGTGTTTTTCTACGCGCAATTCAACAAAATGAAGGAATCTCAGAGGTTCCTGGTTTTCAAAAAGCGCGGGCAGAAATTGCAGTTCACCCTTAACAGCGATTTTGCCACTGGATTTTGAAATTAATTTGAAACTGATTGGAAACGAATTTGAGACTGTGGAAACACTTTGAAACTTGAAAATTACCATATTCCGGACTTTCTGCCTGCCCCCATCTTGGCCCCTCACATACGGCCCTCAATTCACTTTGGTCAGCCGTGACTAGAGACCAGAGTTTCCGAAAACTTGCCAGTCTCCAGACTGGAGTGCCATGTACACATTGTAGCCTACAAGGATCATCAACACTCGGCTGGATTATACCAAGCAGTGGTACAGGATACTTTTCGCACTTCGTTTCGTGGCCTCAACCCTGGGCCCTGGAAAGCCTTGCCAAGAATTTACGGCAGCCAAACACAATGGGCAAAAACACACACACACACACACACACACACACACACACCCACGCACGCACGCACGCACGCACGCACGCACGCACTCACTCACTCACACACACACACACACAATGGAATACTTGTGATCACCGACTCATACTCTATATGAAGCTACAAGCCTTGTATAAGCGCGTTCCGAGACCACCAAGAGCCTTCGCCAGGCTGTGCGGCTATTCCGGGGAGCCCGATCCGTTGCTGGCTCTTGTGAAGGAACTTGAAAGTTCAGATCATCTCCTTGTCATGCAAATATTAGGACTACCTAGCAAAAAAAGTGCCACCTAAGTGAACTAGGCCCGGCCCGTGGGGTACTGCACATCTTCCCTTGTTGGGTTTAAGTAGTGTATCATTCAGGAATGCTTTTTCTAAGGGTTTTGGGGGCCATCCTGGTCAACTGAGGTTGGCCGGTGGAACGAGACCATGACCTCCTGTAGATGCATGCGCCGTCAGGTGGATGAGTGGCCTGGACGGACTTGAACCCGGGTTTGGGGTTGAGGGTTTAGGGTTTAGGGTTTAGGGTTTAGGGCTTAGGGCTTAGGGTTTAGGGTTTAGGGTTTAGGGTTTAGGGTTTAGGGTTTAGGGTTTAGGGTTTAGGGACCCTAAGCCTCAACCCTAAACCGAGTAGGTTGTCTTTCAAAGGCTGAGAAATGTGTTGGGTACATTGAACCGGAAACCCTGAACCCTAAGCCCTTAAGCCCAAACCAACATTGCTTGAGTTTGGCCTGAGGTTTCGGGTTTCGGGACCTTGTCGGGATGCCAGTAAAGTAACAGCCCTTCCTTGCAACAAAAGGACCTCATTTCCCTGGGCTTTGGGGTCGCGAATCATCCGTACATGTGCTCAAAGCTTGCGGGGGCTTCGGTATAAGCATGCTTAAGCTGCATGCCTTTTAGGCTTAGAGTTAGGGAAGGGGTCGTTAGTAGGCGACCAGTCACTGCACGTTTCCAAAACCTGCATAGTGGTGACTACCCCTCGCGGAACAACCACCAGTTCTACGGGGGTTTCCGAAAAATGGGAGGGGTACCCTTTTTGGAGGTACCTTTCAGGGGGGTCTTTCTATTTGGCGAATAAAAGGGTGGAATACCCAGAAGAAGTATTCCTCAGTAGACTATACATACCCCTAAACCGTAGAATATACAGACGACAACGGGACTGCTTGTATTAGGGTGGTTGGCAATGGCCTAGGCTCCCAGTTGAGGGCTGTCGGAAAAATGGAAGCCTCTGAGTCGCAGGAAGAAGGAAGTCATTGGGGTGCTTAGACCCTAAACCCTAAAGCCAGAACCTCCCCACCCAGGTGGGATGAAACGGTGCGTCCAATCTTGAGATAGGCAGGCAGGTCAGCTGGGAAGCTGAATTTTATCAAGAGAGGCAAGACCTGCCGTTAATTTAACAACATACATGTTTTTCAAGCTTTCGTTTCTTCGCGTTTCACTGACTTTCTACGCAATGGCTTTTCCTCATCATACTCGACAGCGCCATGCCTTCGAAGAGGGTTGACGAGACTTCTTCCGTTTCACTGGCACGCCCGACATGTCCCAAACTTCGACCGGCCGATTTGGATTTACACAATGCCGGCCGAGCCATGAGGACGAAAGACTGAGCTGCTACATTTCTTCGAGATATATCGATATCTTGGCAATCATACAATGGCCCGATTATTTTCATCATTCGTATAATTATGAGGAAAGAATTCGAATAAATCACAAATTCTTTTATCGAAAGGAGGAATTCTCTCATTTCATTATTTTTCTTTTTTGAGGATTGATATCTTTTTTAAAAAATCTCGGATAATTCTATAAATATTAATATTTGGGTCTTTAAGGGTCTCTAATGGATCGTTGGTATCTATCGAAAATTGTATGGGGGGGTTTTGGACCCGGACAATAATAAGGGATATTCTTAAAATATATGATCTCTTAAAATTACTAATTAATATGAACCAGTCTAGTATTAACCGCTGAGTGTACACGTAACCCCTAGTATTAGGACGTCTACCAGTAAAAGCCACAATCATTACCAATCGGGCAATTACTACCTTCATGAGTTAGTTCATTGGTACGTACTATTCACCCCTTTCTTACCATGA